CGAAATCGGCCAGTAAGACAATAGAATTTGTTTAATGAAAATATTTATACTACTTAAATATTTCTTTGGAAAGCTTCCAAATTTATGAGCTCGATTTATTAAAATAATCAAAAGAATAAAACATTTATGATTCATTGATATCTTTTATCAGAAAAAATTACCCAGAAACCGAACTATTAAACTTTATTCAACATACAAGTGAGATTTCAGTATTAAATTCATAATGTATAAATCAGTTTGACTAAATTAATTTTGGTAGAATTTTTGTCGTATATTTCTTACTCTAAACCAAATAAAACAAGATAATCATAATCTATTATGTTAGATTATTCTACATTATTATTCCTTATGATAAATGTTTAAATTTTACAATTGATTTATTAGAGAACAATTACATTCTGTACCTATGTTGGGGACGTTAGATCCCTAGAACTCACTTGGGAAAGGACCTAATTTTGTAATTTACTTAGAAAATTTGAATTTCTTTGTTTTCGAGCAAAAGGCGCTCTTGTCACCTTCATATCGTTTTTTCCACTGGGAAATATATTAAGTGCTATTGATCCGTTGCGTCTTTTGGTAAGCTATTTTGTAACTCTCCCCAAGGACGGTTTTGCATTGTATATATACGTTTTGAATTGTGTTTGTTGTGATCGCTCATTTCTGGCTGTTTGCAGAATATACTTTCCCATTCTAAGCTTGGACTTCTCCCTCTAGTTAGTGGGGCTGGGACACACCAGTAGCTAGCTTACTGGTTTTAGTCACTGAATCTTTGTTCTCGTTCGCAGACCAACTTGTGTTAGCTTCAAACCTGAAAACCTAAGATCCACTAACCGTTTCCTTCTTCAGTTTGTTTAAAGATAATGTATTTTTTGAAAGATCATATATGTTGTAAGATTATATGACGAATCATTAACATGACGGATGTAAATTGGTTATAATATCAGTTCATTGATTTTGAAGTCAATCATATCTGTACAAGTCCTTATTTTATATTCCTATAAGAAGTAAAGTTTATTAATGTAATAAAAGTATAGAGAATAGACTATCCGTATTTTCTTTGAGAATTCTTCTGGAGAGATCCAAGATGACTATAAACAATTATTTGTTCAGTTGAAAGTTTAAATAAATAATTATGAGATCAATATCAAGTCCTATTCTGTTGTATAACTTTCCTGGTGAAATTATTGAATTATTTACAGGAAAGAAATAGTCAGTCACCAGGCAATTGATTATCTCTACATGGATGCTGCTTTTAGAGTTTTACAAACTACTTTATATGAAGAGTGGTCATGTTAACCTATCGATTTCTAAAATAAATGTACCTAAACTTGGAGTTTGTAAATGATTTCACCTGATTGATAGAGATAAAATGCGTTTAAAAGAATATTTGTGCGAAATTGCAAAGACTTTATCTTCCTCTCAAAAAAGATTGGCCTCAATCATAATAAATAAACTTGAGCTACCTATTTTCCCTCATGAAGAAATCAATGTAATGAACAAGTATTATATGTTGGTTAATATTATACATTTTTATTCTGTTTCGCGATGATTTTTATTTACCTGCATGGCAAATTATATCGTAAGCTTTGGTTGAATATTTATATTGTTGATTCTTTGGTTCTTATATACTTTTCATTTCCGAATAATTAAGTTTAATTTGATGATTATTAATCTGCCTTACTGGTTATTAGAATTTGTATTACTTGAATTAGTCCAAATATTTTCTTCAGCTTTTAGTTCTACTTTCAGATTTTTTCAGTAGTATACTTTATTCGACTAAACTAATAGGGTCGGGATTCACATATTAATCATAAACCCAAAAGTATTGGAAACCATTGAAATAATGCACAAAAATTCATATCACTTACGTTAAACTAAATGCTTTCTAAATTCCTTACTATAATGATATAATCTTTAGGAAAATTATTCACTGTTACTACTATTCCTTGACATAACGTAACATAGTTATTGCCAGTTACAAATCACTGTTTGACTTCAGACGTACTCTCACTATGAACGAAGAAACACTGAATATTCACTACACTCTGGTATGTTTCTTTTTAAGAGGCAGCATCTCAGTCCTTCAGAGGTTTGGACTCAGACCATTCAAGCTCATCGGACAGGCCTCGGGAAACGGGCCACTTGGTGGGCAAGTATCGATTCGTATTTCTAAATTCACTTCATTTGGAAAGGTTCTTGAGCTTCTTCCTTGAAGGCACTGATAAAGGATCTCACACTAAGAAGAAGTAGTTGTTCGGTGTTTCTTGATTGTCAATGATTTTCCACGTATGCAATCAGTTCGTGATGTAAACTAAAAATAGAACAATCTGAACAGGTGTCCTATTGAAACCGCTTTAATAATTAGTTAGTAAATGATTGGTAACATATTAAATGAATGATCACCAATAAGACGAAAGCGATATGTTTATATCATTAGTGTTTTTCATTTGTTTTATGATTAGACTAAATAAACCCACAATCTATTCAGCTGTTGATCTTTTTTTCAATAACTGATTATGCAAGTCAACAATCATCGTAATCGTTAAAACTACACAAAAATCTTAATTTACTAAAGACTAAAGTTCTTATCTATCCGCAGTAGTGTTGTAAACTTACTTAAGTCAAAGCAACCCCAGGTTGTCGGTAACTTACTGATAAACAGAATTAATCAAAATTAACTGTCTAAACAATATTTTTTGGTAAGTCATTAAGAAAAACATAAGTAATCCTTTTTGTCACTAAAAAACGATTAAAGCAAATTCAGCGAAATAGATGCATTGGATAATGAAGTGTTTTGAAATCCGAGGTGTCATAAAAGTGTTCATTAATGAATGGTCAGCTAGGAAATGATAAAACGAAATCAAAACTATTCAAATGTTGAATATGAGAAAGGCAAAACGTGAAAGTGATAATAACAAACAATTTGAGAAACCTAAAAGAAAACACCCAAAGAAAATATTAATACTAATTCTTTATTTCAAGTTAATTAGTTAGTAAACATGCTGCAACGAAAATTCAAGTTTATCTAAGTTCGTACTACATCTTTAATAAAATTTCAAAAGCAAATTATAAGCAAAGCGGTGCATCAGTAATAAGATGCAACCTCATTTCTATTTAAATAGTAAACACTTTTAGATATATTTTGTAGTGAAGGAAGTTTTAGTCAATACTTTATGCACAACCACACAATGCTTTTATAAAATATGAAAATCACAGATTAAATATATATTAATTGCACATCTTCCTTGAATTGTCCTTTGCATACTCCACCATTCTTTAAATTCTGTTGTTATTTTGGTTACTCTCTCTTTTATTGCCACTTTAGTTTATTCCAATCTTCTACCGGTAAGCATCCCACTTCCAATATGTACCACATACTGCTCATAACTATGCATATAAGTAAAACACACCACAATCTGAATACCTGGAATCTCAGTTAAAATAACTATTGTATACATTAACGTTGTGGAGATCCAGAAAACTCCTTGGAAAAAATCCAAAAAATGTTCTGTAAACGTTAAGAAGCTTCTTATTCTATCAGCATTCACTAGAAGTTTTACCAGAAACATCTAGAGACTGAAAAGTCACATATCGAGTTTGTGATTGGATGGTTACTTATACTGCTAATGTGTTTAGTAGAGTTCCAGAATTTTCTGGAAACTCAAGATCATCCAAATTACTAAAACAACCCCTAGATTTTCTGTAAATAAACGAAACTTAGAGTGAAGCGTTTCTTCCAAATATCGCACTTTTTCTTTCATGTTCAAGTTTCTGTGTAGATTTAGCCTGACGGTTACTAGAAGAGATTAGAAACTGAGTCTAACGTACAAAACGATTCATAATTATAACTGAGAGATATTCATATTAATGATGAAAATTGAAATCAATCATTTTCAGTGTTATTGTCAATTGTTAAAAATTTTGTTTTAATTTCATATTATTCGAAAGTGACTAAACATCCATAAAATATTTATATCAAAATTTTTTAGGTAAAATTAAATTGAATTAAATACAATTGAAAAATCAAGTTGCTTTTTATGAAAGAAAAATGTATTCTAATGATATTATTATTATTAGTAGTAGTATTCAGTATTATGTTTTTGGTATAATATAGAATTTTCAGCACAAAGTATTCTAACAAGTTCCAATTTCGTATTACTTGATCAATCCTGAGATTAAATATTAAGTGATTGCCAAGAATCGACATCTGAATAATTTACATTCATTCTGATTCATAATGCCAGTAATCATGATGTTTCGGTTTGAGCTTTTTTGTCACTTGTACAGAGAAAGGTCGTAAACCTTTCATAAACTTACCTGAATAGTTTATGCGATTCATAGACATAATGATCTGTTAAAAAAAAGGAAACACATAATTTGTTGAAATATCTAAATCGTAGGAACAGGTAGCCCAGATATTTAAGCAAACCGCTTATATATATCGATAAGAATATAAAGTTATCACATTTCTTCTCAATAAATCAACCTTTTCCAAAGAAGAAAATGAGAACTGTAAATATTTGAAGTTAACAATATTTGTTTAAATAATAACAGAATGTATATTTTATTTCAATCGTTAAGATCATGAGTCAGTTGAAGCTAGACCACCATGGAAAACTTAAAAGCACTGGACGGCCGTTTCTTTCTAGCATGGGACTCCTCAGAAGCGCGCATTCACGACCTCGCCCCCTGAGAGATTCGAACCTAAGATTTACTGGTTTCGCACGCGATTACTTAACCACTAGACCACTGACCCGGCATCCAACGGCCGTCCAGTGCTTTCATGTTTTCCATAATGGTCTAACTTCAACTGACTCATGATCTTAACCATTGAAATTACTATAATATCCACAAAACTCATCATATATCTTATTGTTTAAATGTGAATAAGTTTTTTGTCCAATTTTGATTCGTTACTTTTTTCAACCAATCAAATTTCAAATTGGTATGTGATTGAAATAAACCAATGAAATAGATTTAGTGAATAATTAAAATTGTTTATTTAACAAAATGGGGAAAAAAGATAAGTAATAGTTTATATCACTCTATAGAATAATGAGTCTATTTTGAAATATTACATATTATTTATAAACTAATTCATGTATGATATACAATTCACAACATATTACATCTTGAGGAAATATTATGCTTTAATATTATAATTGATTAATGAATAAATTGATTTGGATTTGGTTAGTCTGTCTAGTTTTTATTCCAGGTAAGTATTACTTGATATTTATTAATTAAATGATGATATAGTCTTCTATTTATATATATATATATATATATATATATATATATATATACATATAATTAGAGGGGGTTTTATGGAGATTTTACAAATTTCAATAGTTGAAATCATAGGTCAATTGAAGCTAGACCACCATGGAAAACCTGGAAGCACTGGATGGCTGTTTCGTTTTACTGTGAGACTTCTCAGCAGTATGTATCCACGATCCCGCCACCCGAGAGATTTCAACTCAGGACCTATCAGTCTCGCGCGCGAGCGCTTAACTATTAGACTATTGAGCCAGCAACCAACGGTGTTAATATCTAACGAAACGGCCGTCCAGTGGTTTAGGTTTTCCATGGTGGTCTAGCTTCAATTGACTCATGATTCCAACTAGTGATATATATATGTGATTGTTTAATGGTACAAAAATACGAAAAAACTGATTCTGAAGATTAGTTTAAGTTTAATAGAATGTGAAAATTTATTAAAATGTATAACTTGCAAATAAATAGAAAATATTAGTTGTTTACCACATACTGAAGTTGTTTATTTTTAGAAACTAGACAGTTTACATCACAAAGATTTATCTAACGTATTGTTGTTCGTATTGTTTTCTAAATAAAATGAAGTCTCTTAACATTAGTTTGTATTGTTGATTCATAAATCTTTTGATCAAAGATACGTCTAGTTAACTAGTATATATATATATATCGATTAAAAATCTTTGTTTTTACCAAAACGAGAATATCTGAACTGAACAAACAACATTCATTTCATTATATTCCTTTCAGATCCTACAATTATAAATCTAAATTAATCTTTCGAAGAGATAGATACACTTACTTATAAGGGCTGGTACGATGTCAAGTGCACACAGGTTATCCTTGCCTCTGAAAGGATCAATCTATTCATTCTTTTCAAGCCATATTTTAAATCCTGTCAAACTTAACTGTTTCTATGTAATAGTATGTATGTGCATCTAGTACCTTATCACATGTATGCAACTTATTTTTGTCTGACTATAAACATCGATTAACGATTGATTAAATCGAAATGGCTCACACGGCGTCTACAATCCGTTTTGCTTCGCTCCCTTCTCTTTGTTTTTTTTTCGTTCCATTTCTCCGATCGTTTGTCTAGATCAACGAATGTATGGAATACATGTATTCGAAATTCATTCTCGTATTTGATTTATTTAATTCCATCATTCGCTGACGCGATTTAAGTTGATAATTATATATGAGGATTGGTGATATGTATACTTCAATAACAAGCAGCAAATGATCTACATGGAGTCAGATCTCAAAGCACTAAATTACAGTATCCTAAGTTAACAAAATTATTAACGTCAAAATGTCTAGTACAGACTGTTAACTTGAATACGTTTAATCATTATTTGATAAGATGCTAGACATGTCGTTGTATTTACACATCAGAACAAATATTTCATGGAAGACTAAATCACATATGAGATGATCTGAAATCAGGATTAATTGAGTGTTGACTCAATTTTACTGATGTTAGTAACAGAAAAATATGTAAATAACAATAATATATGGAATAAAATGAACCCAACTTATCAAGATAAAGAGAGAGAGACTACGTAGAATTAATTCTGCCTATCTTATCATTCAATCTTTGAGTTATTTTACTGGATACAAAATTTGCATCACCTTAGTAACAGTATGGTGTATATATATATATATATATATATATATATATATATATATATATATATAACGTATAAAAATTATCTAATTATATTGTTTATTTAACAGTGTGTTTTTTGTCAAGTAATAATATAGACAATAGTAAATCTTTTTTGATTATCGATATCTATATTCTAACATCTCAATAATGACGTATGAATATATCCCACTATTTAAATGTTTTCATTCTGATTAGAACCTGTTATTTATAGTATCATATTGATTTTATTGATATTTACTATTAACTAAGGTCGGTCTATAACTACAAATCATTAATAGTAAAATATACTTACAGAGAGGTTGTGGAATGAATCCTTCATTTCACAAAATTCAAAAGACTCAGCCTATTGTGCTATGATAAGCATAAGGTAGAATGGTGTTGATCGAATGATCTGTCTTAACTGACGTATGAATGATATGTGTAAATATTTATCTGAAGGTAAACTTTAACGAGAAAATTTGAAAGGTACTCAAGAAAAGACTTGAACAAGTACATTTATAAATCAGTCAGTCAGTCAATTACATGCAACGTAGAACCTGATATATATGTATAACTGTTCAAGTTTACATATAGCACTAACACAAATAAACGAAACTTTTATAACAAAGCAGTAGAAGTAGTAATCGAATTAGTATTGGTGAAAAGGTCTAGCCATAAGAAGAAAAAACCGTAGGAAGGATTTCAGACTCAGGATCATGAGGAATATATCTGTGCAATTACGAATGATATTGAGAAATGACACTAGATTTTAATTACTGCTTACGATAATCGTCCTGACCCTAACTAGGTAGTCTACACCTACCTAAATGGCTCAGTAAGACAAAGAGTGGTTTCATGAACTGGTACTACGTCCTAGTTTGGTCGTCTCAGCCTACTACACTAAACGACATCATCCATTGGGGTGGACAATGGTTATACATCCATAAAACACATCCCGACCACCTCATTTGATAAAGATTTACTATCTCATCAACAGATCCTCTATCTTTACCCAGTACCCTATCTCTAACGTCAGTATTCTTTACTAGATGTACTCAGCATATACGAGAAATGCTTTAAAGACACCTATGATCAATTACTGTAAACTAACGAATATTTTTTCATTCACTATTGGCCACGTTTTTCATTTATAAATTAAAGCAAATGAAACTACACAATAAACATTTCATTACACAATTAAGTTGGTTGCATTTCATTTACGCGAAATATATCTCCAGATTTCCTCATATTTAATTAATGATATTGTCTACAAATATTTGTTACTGATCATTATACATTGATATAGTTATTAATGAAGGCTATCAAATATATCTACCATTTCAAAATCTTAACTTGAAAAGAAAAACAATTTCAAAATAGTAGGTTAATGTTGAAAAAAAATGATAAAGAAAAAGGATTGATCGTATGATTTCATCTGCATCCTACCATTTATGTTTCACTAAGTCTGTGTATATTCATTTAGACTTGATCTAAATTAATCCTATTAAGCTTTAAAACAACAACAAAAACAACATCACTACAATTTTCCTTTGAATAATGCATAGTGATAAACAAATGTATTGATTTCTTTTAACATTATATCAAATGTAATTTTAATCAATCAATAATCATCAATGATTGGTCCATTAAAATAGATCCTAACATTTGTTTAACCAATAACATTTTGTGTGTATTTTTTCCTCTATGTATTATTAAGGTAAATTTTATGTAATGACATTTTATTTATATAATTGAATTATAATTAAACATTGCTGTTAATAAATGAAATTTGTTTATAATGTATTATTAGAAAATTTTAAAGATAAGGGATTTGTGAATTGAATAAGTTAATGGGAAGATTTGTAACTTAGCTGAATAATTTTGATGGTGTTTTGTTCTCTGAACTAGATGGTTTGGTCGTGGAGCTTTCGTCGTTCTTCTGGATGGTATTATCAACACAGACATCTACCTGAAGTTTGTGCTGATGATGTTGTTCAGAAGAACGATGAAAGCTTCACGGCCAAACCATATAGTTCAGAGAACAAAACTCCATCAGAATAAGTTGATCTTCTATTATTCAGTGAAATAACTTTTAAAACGGATTAATGTAGTATTAATAATTATGTGTAATAAACTCTCATATCTTTTATACAGTAAATATAATAATATCAATACCACAACAATATCTGGTATTATTAGTTAGTATGAGAATTAATTTCTTTCAATAAGTTATGGTTACTTAAAAGAAGTTCAGTGAATTCAATAACAAGCCAGAAATGGTCAAGAATATGATTATAATCACTTAAATAGTTATACCAAGTCAACGTTTAATTAGCAAGTTAATCAGCGTCAACACTGACAGCTAGATAACCAACTGGCTATGTTCCTACCTCTCTGGAAGGGAACGGTACACTGTATTTGGAGGAGAGTGTTCAGAGTTTCTACTGTCTCATGAAGGTGTACCACAAGGAGCTGTTCTTTCACCTCTTCTTTTCTCTTTTTTTCTGCATGACCTGCCATCTTCCATAGAAAAATCTTTTGTGAAATATGCGGATGATCTCGCTGTATGAATGCCTATCTCTTCCTGTTTACATCTCATAGAAATGAATGAGTTTTTGTCTCGTATTGATTGTTGGTCTGTTGGTAATGGTCTCATACGTAATCCGTCTAAATGTTAAGCTGTTAACTTTAGCATGAGACATGAACAGCATCTAAACACCGTTTTGAGATCCCATAATGCTTGTGACATTGGAGACTCTTTGATAAACACAGTGTCGAAAATCAACTATCTTGGTGTTACCTTTTCCTATGATCTCTCTTGGTCTTCTCACATTTTATTGTTATCAAAGAAGGTGTTCCGTCTGACTTACTACATAAAGGGATTGCATGCTTTTGGGAATACTCGTCATTTACTCTTACGATTTGTCAATTCTTGAACATTACCTATTATCATTTACTGTTCTCCATTATTCATTCCCGGGCTTTTGAGAAAAGACTGCTGTATTGCGGAGAGTGCTGAAGGCAGTTGGCAAGATGTGTGGTGAATCTTTCGAAGTCATAATTAATATGGTTGTGGATAGACATCTAAAGTCATGCAAACTCCTGGCAGGTGTTATTTTATCAGATACTAACCATTCCCTTCACTCTTATCTTTCTCCTTGTATATCTTCTGGTAGAACGAGACGTAACTACGTTAAAATCCATGCACGCAAGCAAAAGTATAAAAGTTCTACAATACCTTACCTAGCAAATATACTCTGTGACGAACAGGTTGTTAGAGTTAACCTAGTCAATAA